TACACTGCAGTAAGTGCACTGCTAATGGCACAGAAGCTACAGAGGGCTTAGCAATCTTTCCTTCAAGAGAAGACAAATTCCAGAACCTAACTCAGTGTCTCTTCTCTGGAAAACTGGAAAAAATCTAAACAGAAGGCATACCCTGAAAAGCAGGACTCTTGCTCTTGCTTACAGACCAGCCTGAACACAAGAATCCAAAGCTTTTGTGTTAGAACAAATTCTCTAAAAAGAGTTGTTCTGTGACAGTGGTACCCAAGACCTCAACTTGGAAGCACTAAATATAGTCTTGCAGTGTTTGTCCCACTTATTTTAAGCCACTGAACAACTTGAGAGTGGTACTGCAGAATGGGAACATCCCACCTCTCCCAGCTGCAGCACCTGACCATCCTCTCAGGAAAGAACCTTCCCCTAATCCAGCCTAAAAATCACCCCCTAACACAGCTCCAGCCCTTGCCTGGGCCCTGTCCCTGGTCACAGAGCAGAGATCGGAGCTGCCCCTCAGGAGGAGCTGCAGCCCCAGTGAGCTCTGTGCTCCATCTCCTCTCCGCCAGCTGAACAGGCCAAGTGCCCTCAGCTGCTCCTCCTCTGGCTTCCCCTGGAGACCCTTCCCCACCTCACATCCCTCTCCTTGGACACTCCAACAGTCACAGACCCTTCTGATACTGTGGTGCCCAAAGTGCCCCCAGCCCTGGAGGTGAGGCTGCCCCAGGGCAGGGCAGGATGGGACAATCCCCTCCCTGTCTCAGGCAATGCCGTGGTGGGACAGAAGTGAGATGTACCTTCACAGCACCTGGTGTCAGGGTCCTGACTACAGCAACTCCTGTTTCAAGGGGTTTGGCTAGCTGCAATCCAGGCCAGTTACACAACAAGAGCTACAGAAAGCTCCAGGGAGCTGCTTCCCTCCTTCACCTGGGAGTTACTCTAAGCTGAGTACCTCATGCATACAGTGCTACAGCCAAACAACTCATTGATTCTGACCCTGAATTCCTGGCTAGATGCTGGATCAGCCTCCTCACCAGACTTCTCCAGCAACTGGGACTCCAGGCAGAGCCTGGGTACCATCAGCAGCACTGCTCAGCTCTCTTGGCTCACACACTGTGCAAAAGGGCTCTTTTCTGACCAGGGCACTGCTTCTGCTGTCTCCTTCCTGTGCTCAGCTCCTGCTTCCCCTCCAGGAGCTGCCTTCCCTGCTGCTGGGCACTGGGGACCAGTACAGGACACATTTCTAACAAAATGGTCAGATCACAGAATAGCTTGGGCAGAAACTTCACAGTTCATCCACTCCTGCCATGTCCAGGACACCTTCCACTATCCCAGGTTGCTCCAAGCCCTGCCCAGCCTGGCCTTGGGCACTGCCAGGGATCCAGGGGCAGCCACAGCTGCTCTGGGCACCCTGTGCCAGGGCCTGCCCACCCTGCCAGGGAACAATTCCTTCCTAGTATCTGATCTAAGCATTATCTCTGGCAGTGGAAGCCATTCCCCCTTGTCCTGTCCCTCTTTCCCTTGTCCCAAGTTCCTCTCCAGCTCTCCTGGAACCCCTTGAGGCACTGGAAGGGGCTCTGAAGTCTCCCCAGAGCTTTCTCTTCTCCAGGATAAACAATCACAACCCTCTCCCACAAGTCTTAATTCTTCCTGATGCTCAAGCACAAGGTGTAGGCACCTGTCAGTCACTGCTCCATCCTCAGGTGGACCAGCAAACCCTCACCTGAGCATCTTACACAGGGTTCACAGTGCTCTGCCAAGGTCAGGTACTGACCAGCAGCAGGACATGTGTCTGCAGCTCTACAAGATCAAACTATGACCTTATAGAATTTTATCTTCCGTGTAATTTTTCCCTGGAACAAGCTTCACAAAAATAAACCTACTGGTGTTTGAGGGCCAGCCATGCTGGCACAGTATTTCCTTAAGATGAAAAACAAAGGCAGAGCTGTAGCAGAACCAAACAAGTCATTATATGGGAAAAATAGAACATGACAAAGAATACAGAAAACAGGGAGAACAAACACTAAATGAAAGAAAGATAAAACTGCTTCCAGAAACACAGTCCTTAAAGCCCAATGTTGTCCTGTGTTTAGAACAAATCCCAAATAACAGAAGAACAGGGAATATAAAAGAGAGAAGAAACAGAAAAACATCCATATCTGCTAAATCACACCCAAGGCCAGAATAGGGGGGATGTGCACTGATAAAGAGGAACATACCTAGTTTGGGGTGCAGAGTGAGATGGAGATCTGCCTCCAGTTGTGAAATGCACCACTCCAGCTCCTCCTGAAACACACCTTGGGGAGCCTTGGACATCGTGTGGGGAAGGCAGAACGATTAGAAGCACAAAACTCTCACCTCCAAAACTGAGTTTTCTGAGGCCTCCCTTCTCACAGGAGGTCAGACCTGGCTTTACATTGGAAGTGCGCTGTGTAACAGTTCATTATACCATAAATCAACACAGCACAGGGACACATGTCCTGTGTGGAGAGCACCAAATGAGCCCTCTGCATTACAAAAATTACAGCTCTTACTAGCAAGAAACCCTACTACTCTCGGCAAGCCAGGACTTCCCACACATTTCTTTCTCATCTTTTTGTCCACCTGTCCCTTTTTAAAAGCCCCAAATGGAAGATTTCTCATTTTTTCCTGAAGCTCAGGCAATGGCATAATGTCTCCACAGCAGGAAATTTCCCTTTAGCACAGCTCTGGTAACACACAGAATTTGTCTTTAGCCTAAACACGAGCCCTTGAGGCCCCATGTGCTATCCTTCTACGCTGGCTGCCTCTTGAAAAGCAGGTGGAAGTTAAGGTTTGCAGCCCGCCTGGGACAAAGCACACTAAAACACGGGGAACGAAAAGAATGCTCAGGATAAGGAGACGAGCAGGGATTGCGAAAGGCACCAGAGCTGGAAAGGAGAACCTGCGGGAGCTCGGGCCCGGTGCGGTGAGAGGGGCTGGGCGCGGGCCGGGCCTTACCTGCTCCATGCCGCGCTCCCCGCGCCGCCGCCGGAGGAAGCGGCCCCAGCGCACCGCCCACCTCCGGTCACGGGCCTCGTGTGCGCCCCGGGAGCGGCCCCGCCCGGGCCGGCACCACCAGCTGGAGCTCGGGGCCCGCTCTGGGCCTCTCGGAGCCCCCCGGACGCTCCGCGGATCCTCCCCCGGCCGCGGGCTCAAGGCGGGCGGGTCGGGCCGTGCTCAGCGCTCCGGCCGCTCCCCGCGCTGCCGCCGCCGTTCCGTCCGAGCGCGCCGGGCCTCACGCCCCAGCGCCCACCTTGTTTGTGCCCCCTGCGCCTCCCTCCTGCTCCCCTGAGCCCCACACTGTGCCGGACACACGTGTGCCCACGGAGCGGGCCGCGGGGATCCGGCGGCGCCGCCTTCCCTGCGCCAAATCCCCGCAGGAGCGCCCACACCAGCCCCGGCCCCTCACAGGCCGGCCTGACGGAGGCCGTGCCAGCAAGCACCAGGGCAGGCAAAAAAGGTTAATACACACCTACTGGTACTGTCTATTCCCATTTCTGTTTTAGATTTCCTTTTGATTATTTAATTTTGTAAATAAAAAGTTAGACACCTTGTTTCATAGGCATTTTTCCCTATTGGATTGTTTCCAACAACAGCCAGCTGATCCCCGTGAGGTCAGTACTGTCACTGCACAGGGTGTGTTGTCTCTCAAATGTTCAAACCATGGAGGTTATAATTTTTCTTGACATTGGCAGTTGATGTTAGAAATTCTCCAAGGCTGACAAAGGGCTCTAAAGTGCTGGGGAATCACTTCGAAATGTTGCTGCTAAAGATTATAAAATGGTACTGGAAAAATAGGTACATTTCTGTCAATCCCAACGTGACTTCTGTCTGCCTTACAATCTCCACCCTCACTGAGACTTGGCTGTTGTCTGAGCCATCTCCTCATTACAAAAAACACCTCAGTGGTTTGAGCCTTAACCAAGGTTGTCTTGAGACTTTATCTCGAGGCTTATTCTGTAGGGTTGAAATTAGCCTCGGCCTTCATATACAAGTGTCCCAGCATCAGGAAAAAATCTGACAGTCAAGTACTGGAGAAGATAATGAGCACAAAATAATGAGTTATCATATCCATCTTGAAAGGCCAGAATCGCACTGCAGTTTTCCTCTCCCTCAGTGCCTGAGCTGGACTGAAGGCTTGTGAACCTGTCACCACCAGTCTGGCTGCATCTCCTAAAGCAAAGTTTCCCATCCATAGCCTGAGGAATGAACAAACCCATCAGGCGATGCAAAGGCTCTTCTTGGTATGGCTGGCACAGAGCCTGCAGAACCCATCCAGACAGAGCAAGGAGTGAAAGGAGCAGTTTTATGTGGTAGGACGCTGTTCATATCTCCAGCTCTGTAGACTCAATGCCCATGCAGGGTAAAGGCACAAAGGACCAGCAATGCCTTGGTATTCCTGGGTTTGATCTCTGCCCTGAGGATTCAGCCCCACAAGGACATTGAGCTGAATGACTGAGCGAGCTGTGGCAGCCTTGCTCTGAGGACTCACGACAGAAGGGCTGTCAGGAGATCCAAACATGATCCTCAGCTTCTGCTTACGCAACAGAAACCTTATCAAGGGAAGAGCTGCGAGCTGAGCTGGTGGAAGCTGATGTCTAACAAGTCATGGCTGCCTGGGAGCAAAGCAAACAGCAGGCAGAAGAATTGGAATGGCTTGAGCCTGCCTCAGGTGCAGAGCAGGTTTGTGTGTGCTGTATAAACTGTGCAAAGGCTGGGACAACTCCTCACTGCTGTCAGATGGTGACAGGAGCACCTGTCTGGGGGCAGGACAGCTGTACAGTCCTGTAGGTCACTCCAGGACTGGCATTCCTTGCCAGCACAGAGCTGCCTTCTTTCCCATCCCACCAACTGAGCACCAACAAATTTGCAGCAGGCATGGCTGTAACTGGAAGCTGGAAAATGCAGCTCTTTGGTATGAGGCTCCTTTGAGAGAGTTGCAGGAAAGAATTGGGAAAAAAAAAAACCAAAAGAGAGAAGTGGGGTGGTTGCCAGAGTGCCAGTGAGCCTTGGAGGGCACTGGGACAGCCCAGGGTCACATGCCCGACACATCCTGTCGCCAGACCTCCTCGCCAGCAATGTACGTGGCTTGCACATACAGGCTGTCATTCAGCATTAGGAAATCTGTGTGGGACAAGAGAGAAAGAAAGCAGCTGTCAGAATGGAGCTGCTGCAGTTGGCTGGGGAGAGCTGAGATCACTGGGGAAGGGTTTCTCCCCACCCCAGGATGGCACTGCAGTGCAATCCTGGCAATGGCAGCTCTGCTTTCTGCTCAGCTGAGATGTGGGGGGCACTCCAAAGGGTTTCCCAAACACCACCAGCATCCAAGGGAAAACCACTGGAGCAAAAGGGAAAAACCACTGGAGCAAAAGCCCAGAGCATATCCCAGGTGGAGCAAGTCTCCCTGCAGCTCCCACCAAAACAGGGCATGAGCATATGCTTACAAAGCAGCCCCTGCTTTGCTCCAGCACTGTGAGCCCTGACACCATTGTCTCCATACCAGTACGTGCTGTGCCCACACCAGTACCTGCATCGGAGTCATAATTCAGTGTCCCCTTTTTATGTTCAATCCCCAGGAGCTGAGCGGGATGCAGAGACGCCGCCTCCAACGCGGTCTCTACCGAGCACCCTTGGACAGAGAATTTGGGAGATGTTAGGGCAGCCAGAGCCCCACTGCCAGAGCAGCCCCAGTCCCCCTGGACAAGGCAACACCCAACCAGGCAGTTGATGGACCCAAGCTGGAACACCCTCAGCACAGCCAGCTGGAGCTGGGAAGGGACATATCCCTACAGGAGAGAGCAGGCATAGGAAAACTGAACACCTAGGGTATGGAGAAGAGAAAACCATGCACTTTTGTGAGGAAGAAGCAGGAGAGTTCACCTCTCATTAGTTCTATTAGTTCCCCCTCAAAAAGGGGGAACTGAGGGCACTGATCCCAGCCCTTACCATGTCTCAGGTGAGAGGGAACATTCCTGGTGAAATGGACACATCTGGCAAAAGCAAGACCTCCTCCTGTGTCAACATAGGGAGCAGCAACTTGTGGACAAGGCTCTCTTACCTGTGGCTTCTTGGAAGTGTCGCACACAAGTGTCCATGGTCGCCACGCTGCCACTCAGGGTCTTTGTGCCTGGGAAGGAACAGGATGGCACTGAGCAGCGCCCATAGCTCACAGCAAGCAGCAGGGCACTAGGGAAGCATAATGGGACGAGAAGTGCAGAAGTCCTGTGTTGCAGGAGGAGCAAGCTGAAGACCCTGCAGCCACTTCCTGCTGGAGCACAGGAACAGGTATGTGGGTGTTATCCCCAGCTCCACTATCAGACCAGCTGCACTGGGTGAAACCAGCTCACAACACAGGCATCTGCTGCCAGAGAAAGGGAATGGAGAAAGGAATGCTCCTTCACTGAAATACCGTCCCAGTCTTCATCTGCTTGGGAATGTGAAACTTAGGGAATTTAGCTAGCAGGAAGTAGTAGTGTTATAATGAAGAAAAGGGACAATAAATATCTCTAAGATTTCTCTGTCCTTACTAATGCCCTGAACCTCTAAGACCCTTGACACTGGGCAATGAAGCTTTCTTTCAAAGATGTTGCAGACAGCTATAACTGGCCAGATCCTCCATGAGGGTGGCACACTTCTCCTCTTTACCAGGAGTTTCATTATCCCCAAGGCCAAGTCACTGCAGATCCACCAGGCATCAAAACCCAAGCGGGTGGCACAAACGCTGCCACACACCGACAGGGACAGCAAGGTGTGCTCAGCTCCTCAGGAATGGTGCCAGTGGCAGCAGTCCCCAGCTCTTCAGCAGAGGGACAGCACTTACCTGCGATGTACGTGTTCAGCCCATCGATTTCCACTACCTGCTGACCCAGCGTGTGCCGACCCGGTGCCAGCCCCATGCCAGCGATTGCATCTGTCACCAGCACCAGCCCTGGGGAACAGAAGGAAAGGGGCCTTGTCAACACTGCTGCTGGTTCTGCTGCACCTCCAAGTACTGTGCTCTGTTGACCCTCCCAGAGAGGAACCAGGTGTCTCCAGCCACATCGCACCAAAGCGAGAGGACTGAGGGATGAGCACATGTGGCTGTGACCTTCCAGACAGCAATGGCAACACAAAGGTCTTCTGGGAGTTGGTACAGTGCTTGGAGTGGCTGGTAACAGTGTGGGGACTGCCATGGCTCACCTTTGGGGTGGGCTCGGTGGGCAATGCGCAGGGCAGCGGGGTTGGTGTGGATGCCATCAGAAATCATGCCATAGAAGACCCTCCGCCCAGCAGGAATCTTGTCACTTGTCAGCAGCCCCACAATGCCAGGGTCACGGTGGTGGAACTGCTCGAGGGGAGAAAGGGGACAAGCTGTGGAGGACCAGGACAACACTGGCTGAGACTTCACTTCAGGGGATGCAGTGCCATCTCTATCACAGTGCCTGGCAGCTTTACCAGGCAAACCTGGGCATGGCCGTGAATCACAGAATCACAGCTTGGTTTGAGTTGGAAGGGACCATAAAATTTATCTTGTTCCAAACCCTGCCATGGGCAGTGTCACTTTCCACTATTCCAGGGTGCTCCAAGCCCCATCCAACCTCACCTTAAATGCTTCCAGGGACAGGACAACCACAGCTCCTCTGGGTGCCAGGGTCTCAGTACCCCCACAGCCAAGAATTTCTTCCCAATATTCAGTCTAACCCTGCCCTCTGACAGTGGGAAAACATTCTTCCTTGTCCTGCCACTTCAGGCCTTTGTCCAAAATCCCTCTCCAGCTCTCCTGGAGCCCCTTTAGGCCCTGGCAGGGGCTTTGAGGTCTCTCTGGAGCCTTCTCTTCTCCAGGTGAGCACCCCCAGCTCTCCCAGCCTGGCTCCAGAGCAGAGGGACTCCAGCTCTTGGAGCACCTCTGTGGCCTCCTCTATACTCACTCCAGCAGCTCCACATCCTTCTGATGCTGGCTCCAGGGCTGGAGGCAGCTCTGCAGGTGGGGTCTCACCTGAGTGGGGTAGAATCCCCCCTTCCCTGCTGCTCACACACAGGAGGGGGTTCTGGGTGCACCCAGCAAGGGCATGTCCCGCTCTCACCCACCAACACTTCCTAGTCCTTCTCTGTGATGAACTTCAAGAGTCGCTACATCCTTGACTCTCTTTCAGATCCAGCAAAAGGAATGTGAAGCCAGAGGTTCAGTGCCAAAACTTCACTACAAAGCATGGTACAAAACCAGCTGGGGAGAACACAGACCCATGGGGAGCAGGAGAGAAAGCCCAAAAGCAGCCCTGGAGCAGGGCAAGTGCCTCTGGGGACTCACCGGCAGCATGGCATTGAAGAGGTGAGTGATGAAGGTTGCTCCGTGCTGCACAGCCTCCTCAGCCTGGGAGAGATTAGCCACTGAGTGACCTGGGAACACAGACCAACCCCTGATTCCTCTGCCCACCTTTCCACTGATTTCCCTATAGGAGCAAAGACACTCCATCACTGGACTATGCTTTTATGCCCACCCTGGCCTGAGGTCTCAGATGGTCTGGACATCTGTCTGTGACCTGGGGGGATTCTGGGAGTGGGTGTTTCACCTGAACTCCTTCAGTATTCACACCACAGCTGTCACAATGCTGCCTTGCTCACAGCATGCTGTCTTCAGGCTGAGTTTGTGGTCCAATGATACACCTTTCTGCTGGCCTCAGATACTTAAATGTTTTGTAGAGAATTATCAGAGGACACCCTCACAACAGTGGGAACTTTGCCAGGAAAACATATGGGAATCAAACTATCCAGAAAGAAACTTCTGTTTCCCCAACAGGACAGCAGCTCTGTGGGCTAACCTTGCCTTTCTGGAGTTCTTTATGTGGCTTTGGGATAAGAGATAGTCTGCTGTATGAATGCCCTTTTCACTTGAGGTTTAATTTAACCCTGAATAACTTCCTCCCTTTAAAAAAAAAAAATCTTCAATGCTCTGAGACAAAGAAGAGTTTGTAAAGCAAAGGAAAAGAAAAATGCAGCCAGTTTAAGTCAGAGGCCAGCCAGATGTTGGAGGGAGAGGTTCCTACACTACTGCTGGTTGAAAAACAGAGTTATCAAACCAACAGTAACCTTTGGAAAATGATTTCGCCTGTCTAAGGCCTAAAGCAGTGGAACTTCAGAGTTTGAACCTTCCACATCATCAAACCTCCACCTAAGACTGCTATTCTTCCCTGTGTTAGAACAGCACCTTGTGCTTACTGCAGGGGCTCCTAAGTCGATAGAAACTTGGGCCCTTGCCGCGACAGACTGACAGCATCAAGCGAGGTCCCCATTTGTGACAGGTCTGTCACATCCAGAATCCCACCCTGTGCAGTTGCATTGAGACAGTGTCAGAGACGCCACAGCCCCAAGGGAGGGGCGGCCAGAGCTCCCCCCACGCCCTGGGTGCCCCGGCCCTTACCCAGGGAGACGCAGATGCCCCGCTTGGTGAGCTCCCGGATCACCTCACTGCTCCTCCTCATTTCAGGGGCCAGGGTCACTATCTGCACGCAGTCCAGGGAGCCGTAGGTGGCAAGCAGGTCCTGGAAAGCGCCTGCCTCAAAGGTGCGGAGGCAGTGCTCCGGGTGGGCACCCTTCTTCTCCTTGCTGATGAACGGCCCTTCCAGGTGGGCTCCTGTCAAACAGGAACAAAGAACCGTGACCCTTCCTCCCCCTGCCAAGGACCAAGAAACCTGCTGTGTCTACTCTGCTCCAGTCACACCCTTGCCATTTTTCTGCAGCAAAACACATGTCAGGCGACTGTGAGCTCAGCACAGTGAGGATGCAGTGCTGGCCACTGGCCAAGCCAAGCCACCCCACTGCTCCAAGGGCTGGAGCAGTGTGTACAACAACAGAAAACACAATAAAAGCCAGGCATGGACTAAGGGACAAGGTGGGTCTGTGCCCACCTGTGCATCCCTCCCACTGAGGGTTCCAGCCCCTATTTGTGCTCTGTAACTTCTTTCACCTCAACCATGAACAAGATAATTGCCCATCTAGAGTAGCTCCACAGAGGGACAAATCCACTTACCCAGGACTCCTGCTCCATGGGCTCCACCATTTCTTACACTGATCTGAGGGAGAACCTAGAGAAAGGGGTTTGTCAGACATGGCAACACAGATACAGCCCCCCAGCCTCCAAATGTCAGGTCTGCAGGGAGATTTGTAGCTGGACCACTTGGGACCATCACAGCCCATAAAGGAAAGGCTGTCTCCAAGTCTTAATGTGCAGAGCTTGCTTGGGAGACGTGGCTGTCTCAGCATTCTAAAGGCTGAGGGCAAGAAACCCAGGGTAGAGTCCAGCTCCTCACGCCCATGGCTTCTCTGCCCTGGCAGCTATCCCAGTCTTGGCCTACCCACCTCCTGATACCAGCTTCAGTTCCTGATCACCCTGCAGATGGGAGAGGAGAAGGCTCCTTACCTGGTGGTACACAGATGGAGGAGAGGTCACCAGGGTGGGACAGAAAGAGGTCACTCCATGGGAGAGGATTTTCTGACTGACCAGGTCAATACCTGATTTGAAGTCATCTGTAGCCAGAGAGAAGTCCACCCCAAAGCCTCCTGCACCACAAACAAAACAGGGGTGAAACTGCTGCTTCCCCAGGAGTGTGCTCCACCCAGAAACACTGAAGAAAGACTTTGTGTGAGTGGAGGGAGATGTTCCATTTGTAGGGTGCTGACACAGAGGGCTCCACCAGCACTTCTGTCCTACATTCCAAGGTTCCACAAGTACAAATCTCTCCATCACTGCCCTGATTAAGTGCTCTTTCCCATAGCATCCAGTGTTTTGCAAGCATAACCTTTTTATTTTGATGCAGGGCAAAAATGTGACAATTCCCAGCCGAAAAGGGAACTGCCTACCAACTTTAGCTACCATAGAACAAGCCCCTCTTTCCTTCTGAACAGAGCTGTTGCTGTTAATTGTTATTGTTCCTTGCTCTATTGTTATTGAAGTCTTGCCCTCTCCTCCCACATCCTGGAAAGTGTAGGGCAGGGATCCTGCATGTGCAAGTGCAGGGTAAAATATAGATAAAAATGAGTTCAGAGGAAACCCTCACCTGGCCAAAGGGGATCACTTACACAATAGCAGCTACCATAGGCAAAATTGCTCTTTGTCATTGGTTGGGTGACTAACACCTCCCCTGAGCAACTGAAACGTGGCCATGGGCAGTGGGGCTGGGGGTCAGGGATGGACAAACCCGGGACGCCCCCAGTCTGTGAGTGCATGTAGCTTCACTGTACCATTGATCTGGACATCGATGAAACCTGGGGCGATGATGCTGTCCTTGCAGTCCAGCTGGACATCAGCAGAGCCCTTTTCGTCAAAGAAGAGCTTCTCTGGGTTGAGGATCTTCCCCTCTCGCACCCACAGGTCCTCCCTAGAGGGACAGTCACACACACCAAGCTCTGGTGCCATCTGCAGCACACGGAGCAGGTGGCTGTGCCCCAGCGATCCCGAGCAGAGTGCATCCCACCGGCAGCTCCAGCCACGGGCTCTGCGATGTCTGCCAGAGCACAGCGGCTCTTTCAGCTGGGACACAACGAGCAGCCCTCTCTGCCTGGCTCTGGCTCTACAAAACTCACAGGAGTGGGATTTTCATGGGCTGCCCCTCGGATGAGGTGGTGATGATGGCCAAAACACCAAGGGGCTGGCAGAAGAGGCAAAACAACAGGGACCGTACACCGCAGCCACCCCATCTCCCTCCAAACCCGGCAGAGGGGACACGGGACGGCAGAGCGCGGCAAGGGGAGCGCCAGTAGCCGGTGCACAAGGGGAGCTGGGACCGTCCCTCGGCACTGCAGGGCTCAGGTCAGCTCGGCAGCCTGTCCGGCAGCCCCACAGCCCTGGCACCCACAGACAACACGACACCCCCAGACAGCCCTGGTACCGCCGGCCATCTCGGTACCCCCGAGAGCCCCGGTACCCCCAGCCACTCTGGCGCCGCCGGTGCCCTCACCTCTGGAGCCGGTGCTCCCTCAGGATGCGGCAGTTGGTGAACTGCACGATGGGCGCGTCCGAGACGGATTTGTTGGACGGCATCGCGGGGCAGCGGGAGCCGGCGGCAAGCGCGAACCCCCTAGCGGCCGGCGCAGGGGGAAGGGACCGGGAGTGGCGAAGCAAAGCCAGGCCCCGGCTCCGGTGCGAGCGGCTGCCGCGGGACTGGACAGCCGGTGAGGGGCGGAGGCACCGGAGCACCGCCCCCGGGGCAGGCGGAGGGTGAGCTCCCGCCCCTGCCCGGCGCTCTGAGCCGACGCTGTGAGGAACAATCCCCACGGGGCCGGGCGGGCGGGCGCCGCCGCGGCACGCGAGGAGCGCCGGCCCGGGGCGCTGTCCCAGCCCGGGGCACCGGGGCCGGGGGCGTGGTCTGGGCGCGGCCTCGCCCCGCGGCACCGCCCACCCCCGGTCACCTGAGCGCGCTGGCACGTGCCGGGATTCCCCACCCACCCTGCGGCACGTGACCGGCCTCAGAGAGCCGCCATCACGGCAAGGGCGCCGCCATCTTGAGAAGGGCGGCGGCGGAAACCCTTCTCGTGAGACCCCATCGTGAACCCGTCATGAGATCCCATTGTGAGACCCCTCCCGGAACCCCCGTCATGGGATCCCATCGTGAGACCCCATCCTGAGCCCCCGTCATGGGATCCCATCGTGAAGCCATGCTGACACCCCATCCATCGTGAGACTCCATCCGGAGATCCCCATCCTAGACTCCATTTTGAGACCTCTGAGAACCCATCCTGAGACCTCCATCCCAAAATGCCCACAGTGACACCCTGGGGCCCCCAGCCTCTGTGTACCCGAGGGAAGCTGACAAGGCATGGTTCCACTCAGGTGATGTAGGCTCTAGCACTGCTGCTGAATCTCTCCTAGGAAAGAAAAGTGATGGGGGATGTAATTGTGTATGAATGTAATATCCCTGTCTGGCCTGGACTTGGATTTTTATTAGGTTTTGAGCCATGCTTATCATTCCATGATGTCAGTGCTTACCCATGCTACAAGCCGCTCCTATTGTCAGCAGGATGCTGGGGAAGGGGCCTGAAAGCAAGAGATGGGAATGATGCTGGTTGAGGCTGGGAAAACAATGTGCAGCACTGTTTTGGGAATTTGAGACTGGTTTTAGGCCACAGAGATGCTCCAAAAGCTGAACCCCTCTGCTCTAGAGCCAGGCTGAGAGAGCTGGGGGGTTCACCTGAAGAAGAGAAGGCTCCATGGAGCCCCTTCCAGGGCCTAAAGGGGCTCCAGGAGACCTGGGGAGGAACTGTAGACAGGGGCCTGGAGGGGCAGGACAAGGGGAATGGCTTCCCACTACCACAGGACAGGGTTAGATGGGATATTGGGAAGGAATTGTTTCCTGGGAGGGTGCTGAGGCCCTGGCACAGGGTGCCCAGAGCAGCTGTGGCTGCCCCTGGATCCCTGGAAGTGTCCAGGGCCAGGATTGACAGGGCTTGGAGCAACCTGGGATAGTGGAAAGTGTCCCTGCCCATGGCAAGGGGTGGAACTGGACGAGCTGTAAGGTTTTCCTCATGAAATTATGCACATCTGGGACACCCAGCACTGTATTGCTGGGAACGATTTTTAGCTTCATACAGGTGGAGGAGACCCCAAAATCAGAAGTTGAGAAGATGAATTCTAAAAACAGCGCTCAGCCCTGCTTATCTGTCTGTGAAGAAGAAAGGGCCCATCCAAGCTGTTAAATCGAATTTGGATGTCAGAAGGCGTGTATAGCACCCAAACTGCCTGTGGCCAAACAGGTCCCTTCCCCAGGAACACACAAGTTGACAGGGCTGTGACAGTGACTCGAGCTGGCAGTGGAAGAGACACTGAGGTAAAGGCAAACACCGACTGCAGAGATAGGAACACCCACCATAAATATCCTGCCTTTGAGCCCACCTGGAGCAGTGACAGAGCTTCACCTCAGAACCCTTCAGCCACACAGATCCTCAGGCTGCCAGTCCCAAGCCTGGATTAGTGCTGAGAGCTCCTGTCTGTGCTGCTGGGAGAAGAGAACAGCCTGTGCCAAGCAACGGGCATCTGCTCCTGGAGGCTGCAGGTATATCACCCAGCCCAGCTTATGGCATGTTCTGCTACAGTCTGAATCCTTTGGATGTTCTCCCTTTATTTCTCAGCATTAAATTAGCCCTGTCTTGCATTGCCAATACTGCACACTCCCCTAAGAATAATTCCATGTTCTTTCTCTCCACTGCCCCAGTAACAGGCAGAAGGAATCACAGGCTGTAGTTTTGCTTGCATTTTCTTTAGCAAACGTGGTTTTTTTTCTTCAGGTTGAGTTATTTTTAATCTGGCTCAATTCCCAAATCAGGTTCACCGCCTGGCAGCAAGAGCAGTTGTACCTGTGCACTTGGGAGGAGCTGGGAGCACATGGAGCAGCTGCAGGAGCAGGGCAGGGGCCAGCACTGCTGCTGCATGAGGGCTTCTTGAAATATGGCCTTGTCTTCTGATTTTCACAGGCATTCACAAAGATGTGTAAGAAATTGTCCCAAGGCACACAGGAGCCATGGAGGCTGCTTAGAGCAAACTGCCAGTGCTGGGAATATACATGATTTCCCAAGATTTGTCCTCAGCCTACCTCATCAGACAGCCATTAGAAGAGAGTGGCTGAATTCACTCTCTGCCACTCAAGTCACCCTCTTCCCCTCTGCCAAAAGCAAAGGAAGAAAGCACAGGTGTAACAGCACAGACAGGACAGTTCAAAGTGCCAGAAAAGGCTCTGGAACTTACACAGTCCCTGCTATCCCCTTGATGAATCCTGAAGAGCCAAACCTGATCCTGTGTTGAGGGCAGCCTGTCCCTCAGCAAAAGGAAAACGGGAAAGACACGCCACCAGTTCTCCAGGAGCTGCACCTGCCCAGCTTGTCAGGGGTCTGTAGGTACCTTATGGGTACAGTGTGGGTGCCAAAAGCCTCGGCCCCTAAATACTGTAAGGTCAGGGCAGGATTTTTCCCTGTGTACTTTTGTGTTGTGACACAAGAACCAGCTTGGCTGAAAACCACTGATACAAGTTGCAAAGCTGTGTCTCTCAGGAGCTCACTGAAGAAAAAAATAACAGCATCTATTAGCTTTAACAGGAACAAAAATGGAGAAGCATTTTGGGACAAAATCCTTTGACCGTGAAACAGAAAATTCCCATTTCAGGGCAAGTGGCATTGCAAAGATGTGCTCTGGGTTTAATTTAATCATGTCAAGAGAAAAAGATAGTTAATAGCTGTAAAACTAAGGCCAGAGGTTGCAAGTCCTGTGCATCAGAGACAAGTAACTCTCGCCTGAGCACAGTGATGGTTTGGACAGTACAGCCAGCTGGAAACATCAGAATGCCCTACAATCAGTATCCCGTGGCCAGCCTGGGAAAGAAACAAGGTTTGCTGAGAGCTGCAGTCATTAGCTCTGCTGTTACTCTGTAATTAAAAACAGCAACTTCATTTCTGGGATCAGCTTCTCATAACAAGGTCTTTATTTCTCCAAAGCTTTTCTTTTCCAGGTTACTATGCTTCTCTGAAGCCACATCTCCCCAGGAACGCCAATCTCTGAGCAATCAGAGATAAAATGCTGGTACTGAAAAATGCTTCTCCAACAGCAGCGAAAACAAAAATTGCTGCCTTTGGAAAAAAACAAACAAAAAACAGTGTGAAAGGGTTAACAAAGAACAAGGTCAGCAGGCTCTGTGGAGGCATTGTCTGTGCTGGCAGCTCTGGCATCTGGTCCTGAACCTCCCAGAGCCTGCACTGACTGCGGCTGGCCCTGTCCCTGTGGTGCTGCTGCTGCAGAGGCCCCGCTCCTCTCCTCTCCTCTCCGCAGGGCTGACTCACTGCAGCGCTCCCAGCCACGCACGGAACACAAAGGCACCATGGCTGTGCCGGCACTGCCACCCCCTTCCCCTCCTCCAAACCTCCACCGAGCCAATCCCTGCCAGCTGGGACTGCCCTCTGATCTGCCGTGCTCCTGGCAGTAAAAGACTTTCAAAAACCCCAAAGGTCCCTCATCTTCTTAATGCCGCGAGTCACTTGAGAAACGTGCTGATGCAATAGAACCAGCAAAGGGCTTGAAATGGGAGTTTCCAGCCGGGAGTCATCACAGAGGATTCAGAGCATCACATGTCATGGCTGAGGCACTACAGACTAATGTTAATCTGACTCTGGGTGTATTTACAGGTACTTGGCACAAAGTGATCCTCCCCCAATCCATGCTCACCCCAGCTCTATTCTTCTTGCATGGGTACATTAATGACTAAGGTTTCACGTTCTAAGGCATGAAGCAAAATGCCATTGAAAGGATTTTCCCTGCACTGGTTCTGGTCCTATTAACTGCCTCTACATGATGCCACCAACTTACAAGGGACCTTAAGGTACCTTGGAACTGGGGGGCTTTCAATTGCTTATTGCTTTTGAGATGAGAGCACTTACCTGCTCTCTTAAATGCAAGACTGGCAGTAGGGTCCCCTTACAGAAGCTAGAACCAAATGTTAAGCATATTTGCAACCCCAGACAGGGCCCTCTCCTATCCTTTCACACAATTTGACTTGCCAAATTCAATTCCTCTCAGTAGAACTGCAGGCTGGATGTAGCATCCTCTCCAGAGCCCGGGATTGGGATTCAGCCCTCAGCTGCAAGTTGTCACACTGCACCAGGAAAGCTCCCTCTGCAGTCAGTGTGAGACAATCAACCTACAGATTCCATAAACATTTATGACCCCTGGGGAAAGCCTAATTTCAGAGATTTAGTCTACTTTTGCTGATGAAAGGAATGACTGAAACCATTCAGGTCGGGAATGTCTCCTTCTACCATCCACTGCTTCAGCAGGCATGCAGGATTTTCCTTCAGTCAGCTTACACCTTTGTACAGCCCCACCACCATCTCACACTGCCACAAAGCAAAGCACTGCCCAAGCAAAACCAGCCCACTGAGAGGTGACTGCATAGAGATCAGTGTTCTAGCAAACAGCAAAAAATAAGCCCAGTCTTTGTAAATAATTACTGCTGACCCTGATGGGACAAGCAGCTCATAGCTAAAGTCTCCTGAATGCCCAGAGTGTGCACACAGTGGCCCCAGGCCTGGGCTGGGCAGCACCCTTGCCAGGTTAGAAGCTCCAAACAGCTTCAGTGAATTCCTTCTGTTCTGGCCACAGCTCTTCACGGTACTTGCACCCCTCACTGGACAGGCACCTTGGTGAAACACATACATGTATTTTCATTCCCACCCAGGTGAAACATCCCTCCAAATACATCAGCTTGGTTTGATGCCAAAGGCACTGCTAGCACCAGGTGTCTGAGAAGTAACATTTTGGCTTTGCCACTGAAAGGGTCCAACATGTATTTCCCATATAAGCTTGGCAGTACTCAAATCCTCTGGCCAGAGGAGGCTGCTCCAGCATTCAGCAGCTGCAGCACCAGAATCTCCCAGCTCAAATGGTCCTGTGATTTATAAGATAAAAATACAAGTTCTTGACTGAAGCCATTTTGTTGATGAGACTATTGTTGAGGTACTTCAGAGGCAATTACTATTCACAGTACAGCTTCCAAGCAGCTCAGCTTCTGCAGGGCCAGCACAAGGACAGGCTGCTTGTTTCCTGACAAGGCAGCTCCTCTACAGGCTGCAGCCTGCACGTCTCTCCCTGGCCCTTGGCACAGGCTGCAGCTCCCTGACCCCTGGTCACAGAGCACCACACTGAGCCAGGTGAGATCAGGGTGAGCACAGCCCTGCATCCCTGCTCACCAGGAATACGGCCCATGGCAGCAGCTGGGAACCACAGTGCCACAGCCCAGGAGAGCTGGCAGCATCACTGGCATGCTGCCCAGTCACTTCGGGAACCTGCATGCCTCAAGAGACCTCACCCTTCCCAAAGGAGCAGCAACAGCTGGAAATCAGAGCCAGGGACTCGTTACAGCAATGTAGTGAGGAAGTTTTATTTGGAAACATGGTAGAAGTTTGTAACCCAACACTGGGTGCACGACTGATGCCGGAGCATACGCAGTTACTATTGAAACACGGGAGTGTTTCGGACAATTGCTGTAATAAAACACAAAATTCTCATACTCCAATACCAGGACACTACAGCAATCTTTAGAATCAAAATTACATCCAAGGAATTCTCTGCACTTACAATTTACCCCACAGTGTAATCTACCTATATATAAGATTAATATATATAGCATGGGAAATTGAAAATCCTTGCTCCATAGATGTATGAACATGTCAAGTCTTTTATAAATAAACATCCAGTGAAGAGAAAAAATTACATTTCTAGTTCATATTTATACATAAAATACTAACAGCAATGGGTGGAAAATTGCACACGGGCCACCCCAAGCCATGCAGCAGGCCTGGAGCAACCCATCCAAGTTAATATTGAAGTACACACAGGACAGACGAGTCACTAACATATATTGCGCATTTACAAGAGATCAACTACCAAATTGGGACAACTGTACACATTGGAGAAACCATTTTCATTCTGGAGCTTTTTTTTTTGTTAAACGTAGATTTGTTACATCTCTTTACATCATACCGCAACATTTACTTCGTGGAGAGGATAAGGGCAACAATGAGGCCATACAGACCCAAGACTTCAGCAAAGATCAAAATGAGGATCATCCCCACAAATAACCTGGGCTGCTGTGCTGTGCCCCGGACACCTGCATCGCCCACGATGCCAATGGCAAAGCCAGCAGCCAGACCGCTGAGACCCACGCTCAAGCCAGCGCCCAGCTGAAGGAAGCTCCTGTGGGACAGAGATGGAACAGTTTCAGTGGCAAGGAACAAGACACCCAGTCCTAAGCCCCTAATTCTTTCAACAAGCCCAATGTGTCTCAAAGCAATGCTTACTGACACTCCTAACTCTGATGCTTAAAAGATAGGCAGCAGTGAAGGATCTTCACCTGATGTTCATGTGAACATCGTGGCTCATACACAGAACTGAGTTACTGGGTTCATCTGGCCACCAGCAGGCTCAGTATGCTGTGAGAACAGCACTTGCAGCAATGCCTGTCCCACAGTACTTTGCAGCCTGTTAGTAGCTGCTCATCTCCAACCTTCAGCCACAGCACATTCAGGTGTCTTGCACTGCAGAAGCTGGGCAGGAATGGTCTGTTTTTCCAAGAAGGAGAGCATCCTGTGGAGCAGTCCCTACCAGTGTCTGCTCACCTGGTAATTGCAAAGGACCATTTGTATCTGCTGTTTTAGACCATGTCTTGTTAGGCCAAGCACTCTGCTCACAGGTACAGCCTGTACAGCAACACAGATACGTGTCACTTCAGCAGCATTGTTTAATTCCAAGAGGGCTCAATCACACCAGTTCCAGCTGTTTTCAGAAGCCAAGAGCAGACTAAATTTCAGACTGTAGCTGCTAGAGGCCCGAGGTATAGCTCAAGGATTGACTTACCACAGCAAAAGCAATATTAATTATTTACTTGCATCTCCCAGGCAACAGCAGATCTGTTTAGAGAGTTTTGGAAACACCTGTGCATGCAGGTCTGGAGTCTGGCATCATGACACAAGCTCTGCCTCCTCTCCCAGTGCTGCCTGTACATGGTTGCTTCCAAGCCACAGCCCCACCATATGAGCAGTGGGACACCCAATTGATCTGTGACAGCCAGTACAGCCAACTCCACTGGGGCTGAGGCATCTGACAGGACAGCTGGAACCCAGCCCATGCTCTAAAGCCTAGCCAAGCACATTGAGCACTGCCAGCCCTTCCAGGGGCCTTGAGCCAAAACCACCCCCACACAGAGCATCAAACAGTGACAGGACAGTCTGAAACAGAACTGCCAGATGCAGCAACTTACTTGAATAGCGTGATTTCAGGTGAGAGGGCATTGGCAATGAGCACTGCCACTACAAGGCCGTAGATCGCTATAATACCCGCCATGACCACAGGGATGATGGACTTCATGATCAGCTCAGGCCTCATGACAGACATGGCTGCAATACCTGTGCCACTCTTTGCTGTTCCATATGCAGCTCCCAAGGCTGGAAGAGAAAAAAAATGCATTACACATATCCCCAGATACCATTTCTTTCACTAGGCTGCAGTTAGAACAGCTAAGTCAGCACAAGGAAGGATTGTGCAAAACTAACACAGTCACATGACAGCCAGGAATACTCCCCTAAGGGATGAGGAAGTGACCTACCCAGAGTCCTACTCCAAAAAGGATTAAGAGGTGCTGTTCAAACACAACTGATAGCAGAATATCTTCCCAGGCCAGCTTCACAGTGGGGCACACCCCCAGCAGCCATCCATGCCCCTCCTTGGGGCCAAAATCCAAAGTCCCAAAGGGAACTCCAGTGTTTGTGTCCTCCCAGAGCCCACACTGCAAGGCTCAACAAAGCACATCTGTTTACCCCAGCAGAACACAGCTGAGAGCTGGGCCACCTGAACCGAGCTCAGCTGCACAGATCTCCTCTGTGGGGCCCATTCTCCCACAAAACCCATTTGCCTATGCTTTGGCCCTGGAGTTAAATGTGCCATTGCAGCATCAGACACACTGAGAGAGAAATCAACTCAAATATTACTGCTCCACATCATTCATTGGAGAAAGGCTCTGGCACATGGAGAGTGTGACCTCACCTATGAAGGATTCTGGTCTGAACACTTGCCAATCCAGCCACTGGACTTGTAGTTTATAGAGGACCACAACCACCTTACACCTAAGGTTTCCTCATCATCTCTGTCAACACTTGAGCATGCAGAGACCTACACAGGATGATGGGTTTATCACCTGCACCAGAGACCTGGAAGAGGCCAAAGCACTATCCCTAAGTAACTTCTGCCTTGAAAACTTGGTATAAGGCTCACAGAAACTTCCTCAAATACATCGTTCTTTGATTCTGCAGTACTTGAAAAGACATCATTCCTTTCAGCCTTACTGGGGAGTACTCTGGAACTCCACAGCTTCCTACTGTATTCACCATCATCCAGAGATGATATGCATGTCAACTGCCAGCCAGGAATAAGTCCCTGAAGCAGCAGAGACAGGCATATGGAAGGGCAGGCAGTCTCCTTTTCTGACACCATCAAGATTGCCCTCAGAGGTCAATCCTATTAGGCAAGAAAATGTTCTTGCATCTGTTCTAAAACACTGCTGGAGTCCACTTAAACTGTGGGCATGTAACGTCTTTGTACTGTTCTGAGACCTAAAGTTACATCTGCTCCACCCACAGAAAACCAAGGTTTCTCCAAGGGAGAGCTGCTTGTTCCACAAAGATGTGTCACTGCCTTACACCAGTATTAGAGCTTGAGATTGTGCACCTTGTCCTGAAGAGTTGCTGGGAGGTATTTGGGTACATGCTTCCCTGCTTCTCACTCAGCACCCCCATAAAGCCCATATTTAGTGTAGTCATCATCCTGGCTTGGCACTAGAACCCCACACCATTCATACAAGCAGCACCACTGCACTAACACAAGGTTCATTCTCAGAAGGAAGTTCAGTTTTAGTTACAAAACCCTGAAGGGAAAGTCTCATTAACTACCAATTTGTTCTGTGCTAGCAAAGCTCTTGAACCTTGACTGGCACCAAGTGATGTAAAGGGCTATTTTGGGCTACTCAGAACTAGAACCCAACTTAGGAAGCTTGAGCCAGGAGCAACTTCAGGCTGCAAATATCACATGAACCTGGATATTAGCACATGGACCTAATCAGCCATTTCAGTGATGGCTCTGTTTAGGGTGTAGCTCTTAGGAACTCTAGAAAGAAATCACTGACTTGAACCAGAAAACCTTTTTGTTGGACAAAGCACCTTCTAAGAGCTGGAACTAAGCCTGAATCCTGGTTCCACTGTCTACTCTGTGTACAGAATTTAGCAGAAACCACTTCTCCTGTCTGCAATCTTTTACAAACCTCTCAAAAAATGCAGAGGCTTATGAGGGAAGTTCACTATTTAAAGTTTTATCACTTCCTCCAAAAGCATGAAGCTACTTGGGGGTGTTGCAATTAATGCAGTGATGGATTAGAGAAGGTGATTTTGTAACCCCACTTACAAGAAAGTCAGCTTGCTCAAGCTTTTGTGGAGGGGCAGTGCAGCACGAGTTTGTCAGCTCCCAGTTAAAATCCCAGAAGAGGCCAGATCTTATGCCTTGAATTTGTTTTAAATACAGTTTGAAAGAAAGCCTATCTTTACCAGTCTTCACATGACAGTCTTAGATGTCACTGAAACTCTACTGAACTCCCACTGGTGGCCACACAGAGCTTCAGAGCTTGGCACATCTGCTCCCAAGGAAGCCTTCACCACCACCCCACCCAAGAGACATCTCCAGCACCTTACAAGGCGGCTTTACTAGTCTGGCAAGTAGTCCTTGCATCTTTGACATTATCACAGTATTACAGGGAAGGTGGCAAAGACAATACCTGCTTCCCACCATGCCTCCAAGTGGCACAGCCACTCAGTTTTGGGCTACAGACACCCTGGCCAATGTTCCTCCACACCTTCACCTCTACCTTGCAGCAGCTCTAAAACAACTGAAGCACATATAACTCATATGCTACATTTAAATATCTCTGATCAATTGGAAGGATGTGTTTTCCAAAATCTTGCTAAACAGAGTTTGAGGAGAGCTCTGTGGCAGACACTGGAAATGGGGCAAGAGCTGTACCTCTGCTACACACCAGGACTCTGGGTTTCTGTGTCAGCTCATCCAGCTCCTTCACCTCTAACATACAGGCCAAGCAAGCTCCAAACACTACCTTTAAAGAGGCAGACCTGTCAAAACATTTACCTGGCAGGTCAAAAAGCGCTTCACCTATCTAGTTCACCAGAGACAGAATCCATGCTGGTCTCTAACCAGGAATTGTGCCATTTAGAAGTTCAATGATGTTACAATACAGAGAAATCGCAATGCACATCACTCAAGACCACCTACTCCCACTAATCCTTGTTTCAGAGGTTAACCCCCTTGTGAAATACCTGATTTACTCCTTGAACTCACAGCCCAGAGTTGATTTATGTACTGCTCCTGGGGGCAAAATGCCCTCCCCTCTGGGCTGAGGGTATGCTGCCTGGCACCTCCCCCTATCTGTCCCTTTGACAGTGCTAGCAGAGAGGGTGGGGCTGCGCAGCTCCAGGATCAAGTATGAACCAGACAGGCTCTTGCCAGATAGGCTGCAGTGCCAAAGACTGAAGCCTGGTTGTACTCTTGCCACTGCCACAGCTCCACAGGGCTCCGCCCGCATCCTGCTCGTCAGATCAAGGGCAGTCCCAGCATCACAACCAACTGCTCCAGCTCCAGCAGGTGACTGTGCTCACTCAGGGCACACATCAAGAAGAGAAACCTTGCAATTAAATCAGATGCAAGTCACTCCCTTGATACAGAAGGAGGCTGTGAGGAGCCTTCCAAGTTCAGAGATCTAGTAGCACAGATCCAGTTTCACCAGTTGATATACTCACCCAGGCTCAGAACCAGCCACATGCACTCCAGCAGCATTTGGCCCATTCAAGGCCAGGGATTCCTCCCACATCCCACCATGGTGAACCAGATTTCCACACTGCATGTGAGAGATTTGCAGAGCACTAACATGCAGAACTTGCCTGCATGAGAAGTGAGCTAGTAAAAAAAGCCACTTTCCAATTAGGATACCACTGGTTACTATCACAGCAAGCATGAAGGACCATTTGGGATGAGCACTTACATCTGGAGCCTTTTAAAACTAATCATTATCAAATGGGCTGCCCTCTGCAGTAGGCAGGCTTCCCTGGGAGCAGACAGGCACCAATTCACCAACATCTATTCATCCCTGAGCAGGCTCTTCTTAAAAGGCTGGAGAAATGTTCAAGGTGACATCCAGGTGAAGCACAGTCCTTGCTCTGCCATAGCAGAAACCTGGACACTTCCAAAGAAACAGGCTGCTTCCCACAGGCTGGCCCTGCCCCCTCCCACCCCACCACACTCAACAGCTCCACCTCAAGTTACAGTAATGGATACTTCTGGAAAAAACCTGCTGCTCTGCCCAGGTGCAGCTGCACAGAACAGACCAGCTTCCTTAGGGGAATTGCACTGGAGCCTATGCAAATTCTCATCACACTGGCTGAAGCCTGTTCCCCGATGAAAACCCCAGGAGTAAACAGTGAAGCTGCTCTACAGGAAGCTGTAAGCTCAGAACCCTTTAGTGAGTCACCTGTTTCAGGATTAGGGATAACTTTTTGTTCTTCCATAATGTAATGAAAGGCTGCTAACACTGTCAGCTTACTGCATTATCAAAATTCTCCAAGACTGGCAGGCCTTTTAGTCTTGGGTCAATACATCTGAGAACTTAAAAAACCACCAGCTCCTTGAGACATTGCTGTAATAGCAGCAGTTCAAGGAAAAGAAAGGATCTGCCAGCCAACTGTCCAAGAGCTGCTTCAACTGGCACTCTGGATTGTCACACAGAGCTCTTTGATTTTTTAAGTATGGTAAAGCACTTGGCCTTGGAGCACAGGCTTGTCCTGCAAGCTGCAAAGCCCACCCAGACACTCAATACATATCTTTATCATCAAAGAGGCTCCCTCACAACACCTTCAAGAGGACCCACTTCACAAACCAGGTGACCAGTGTACTCCAGGTACCGACTGGCAGAGCAGTGTGTTGCACCCCTTAGCAAGACCCCTTTCTAACCAGCAGGTCTCAGGGGAGCTCAGAACACTCAGCAGCACCCACAGCTCTGCTGCCCCATTGCTGTGGCACGGGACAGCCCCTGCCTACACCCAGCAGACACTCCTGTGGCCACAGCAGCCTGACCCAGAGCCTCTGAAGGAAGTGAGTGCAGCCAGTTACGCTTCACTGGAGAAGCACACACTGCTGTAAACCACTGCTTCAAGGAGCACCCAACAGACTGCTCAGGCTGGGATGCTGTTCACTTTGCAACATCTGTGCACAACCAGTCAGGCTCTGGAGATGGAAGAGGCCAGTTCTAGGAAGGAAAAAAGCTGACCAAGAGGTCCTGAGGCAGCTGCTCCCACCACAGGGGAAACACCTGCAGGCTGTGTAGTGACTCCAGGGTGAGAGGGATCCATCAGGAAGCCACAGTACAAACTGCAGCACAGCTGCTTAAGCCATGTTCTGCAGAGCCAATGGTTTATAATGATGATCCATCTCATTCTCAGTGTTCCCAAGACTGGCATTTACTGAGAGGAAATGCTGCCCTTGTTGAGACGCCTTCCCTCATTCTTAAGCAGTAGAAACATCGCCTACCTCACTTCTGTTACAGCTCTGAGGTCTCAGCCATCCACTGCTTTACCTGCTGTAAAGGACAAAAGCTTAAGCTAATCTCTACTGCAGACAGTCTGGTAGTTCACACACCTGCCCACATCACATTTGGAGCAGAAAATTACCTTGAGCTGCACTCCATCTTATTTTTACCTGCAAGCAGCTCTCCTGTTCCACCTCCCCACCTCTCAGACAGTATTTTGAGAAGCACAGGTGCCAATTGCCTTTGAGGATGCAAGCTGTTTACAGTCATGATGTCTTCCAGAATCAGACTGTGCAGGGCTGTCAGCTGCACCAAACTACATGTTCTGAGCCAGCTATTTCACCATGGAGGTCCCTTAAAAGCCAACCAACTGCTATGAGATCTAAAGCCTTAATTTAAAACAAAAGTACTATTTCCCTGCAGCAAAAAAAGGACTAATTCAACACTGGTGGCTAAAGTTCTCTTCAAGAAGAATCTTCCAGCTGCTTGGCAGTGCAGCAGGTATTGAAGGCACTGAATGCCCAGCTGGAGTTCAGGCCTAAGGACAACTCTGCTCAGCATGGAGCTGTCACACTTGTGACAGCTTTGCACAGAGCACCAGCACACACACAACCAGACAGCTCTGCCCAACACCACACTTGTCCATTCTGGTGTGCTCATATCACATGAAAAAGCTACAATAACTTAATCACTCAACAGTACCTGACCCACCCCATGGGAAATAAGGAACTGCAGCAGTGAGAACAAGTTGTAATCTGCAAATAACCAGACAGGCTCAAAGATGGCCAAGGTCACAGCAGCCTGCTCTTGTCTCTGGCTGACCAGAACAAGTTCTGCTATCTATTTACCATCAGCAAGTAGTGCTCACACAGCACATAGGACTGCTCCAAGTCACTTGTTTTCACATCAAACCACCCTGGACAGTATAGAACCTGAACATGTTTACTAGAAACATATCTTGGAACTACAAGCTCCACAAGAATGTGATCTTTAGATATAGCATGAGTCAGATATGATTCACTGCACTAATTAACACGGATCCAGGACAATTTTAGAGTTTTAACTGCTTGTCCAGATTTAGCTCCTTACTTCAAAATCAGGGTTTTTTTAACAACTACCATCAGAACATGCTGTGATGCAACATGCCTGTTACAAAAGCTACATAACTGCAAGTTTCAGTTTATCCTCTGTTGACACCTCTGCCTTATTGCCTTAAAAATACAAACTGCTTCACTGAACAGCCACACCTAAGAAATAATTTCCCATCACCACTATCTATAACCTGTTGTCCAGCACCTGAACCCATCCCTGGCCCTGGCAAGAGCACCTGCATGGCTCAGACCTGCTGGTATTACAACATCAGAGGTCAGGATAGACCTCTGAACTCATTGAATCCAGGCAGACTAGACAGATTCTGCATCAAGGACCTCTCACAAAACAGCTGCAACACCACAGACACCAAGCCTTCATCAACAGAGCTCATGCACTGACTTTGCATTCTCCTACCCAAACCTTCCCCCTGCAATCCCACAGCACCATGCTGTCATGCTGCAGCTTCTAGGAAAGGCTTCTCTGCTGGTTCAGACACGCCAGCACCACTCCAAACTCGTGTTAAAGAGCTGACTCAAGTCTGCATCCCTCACTGATGTTTCAGCTGAAGCACACTCACACGTCACTAACATGGTGTCTAAAGCCACACAGCCATGTTCTTTTGCTTCCAAAAGCCATTCTGCAAGAGGAAATCAGCAACTCCTTCCTTGGAAGGAAAGCTCATTATTTAGGACCATTTTGCAAAATGCAGTGAACCATTGACTATTTTTTCCCAACAAGTAACTAGGTCTTAGTTTCTTCCTCCATTATCTTCAGTAGCCAAGAGGCAGGTAGGTCAGCAGTCCCAACTCTGGTTCCTGTGGCATTTCAACCACTGACTTTCAGGAAAATTTTTACCTGTCAAGAGTGAGTACAGTGTCTGAAATGCAAGGTGGCAGGCCACTGGCTGCCCTCAGCATCAACATCTGCATCCCACCACCATGTACGAATTAAACACACCTAACCAAGCTTTTGTTTTATCAAAAATGTAAGTCACAAACATGGCTGGTGTGGAACCAGTCCATGGTGCCCACACCAGCATGGCTAGACAGCTTCATCTCAAGCACCAATTTTAATTCACTGTCCACTTGGCTCTCTGCATGATTTCACCTCCCACATGCATCAATTAAGAGCAGCTTCCCAAAATCCATCCTGCAGACCCAGCCACCATCCTAGAGGCCATATTAACACAATGGGATCCCAAGCACCTCAACAGCACTTAGGCAGCTTGAGCTACGACCAATTCAGGACTAGAAGGGAGCCAAAGACCACTATGTTCACGTCTGTGGAGACATGGGCTAAGGCTTCAGAAAGGAAAGCTAGATTGGTTCCTAATTGTTTTATGCCTAATTATTGTGATACCTGCATTTGGAAAAAAAACAGCTGAAGCCTTCCCATGTTAGATTCAAAAGGGAACAGCAGGTCTGCCCCCACCAAAGAGCAGCAAACGCTGTGCAGGAACAGCAGTCACCTTCTGTAGTTTAACGAGGCTCTGAGAGACAACGTGTTAAAGGATGGCATTTCTGGTGCAAACCAGCATTTACAGCCCCTACATCTGAGCTCCTTCAGTGGGGAGAGCAGTGCCGCAGGATGACCCAATTTACACCGCACTGAGCTCGCTGCCTGGAGACGCAGAGGGAGGGCCATGGAGCGGGGCTTCCCCGTGCCCGGCATCCCCGTTCCACGGGGCAGCTCGGAGCCCGTCCATCGCCTGCAGGGGCATTAACGTCTCCAAGGCGGCCTGCCCGCCAAACGACCGCACATTTATGTTTAATCCCGTTAAAAACCGGTCTTGCGTTATCCGGGGAATGGTTTAGACACCACGTCCGAGTCACAGTGGGAGAAGCGCCGCCGCCGCGGAGGCCGGGGGAGGCAGAGCCGGCGGAGGCAGATCCGGGGACTCCGCGGGCAGCCGGTGCCGGGGTACGACCCCCCCCAGCCCCGGGGGGACCCCGGCCCGCAGCTGCCCGGGGGAAAGGGGGGGGCGGCCCGGGCGGCACCGCCGCAGTCACGTGGCCTCGGGGGCTCCGCCGGCGGTGACGTCACCGGCACGGACCCTCCGCTGCCCCCGAGAGCCCGGATGGAGCGGGGGAGGGGGTGGGGGGGCGCCCCCAGGCCCCAAGAATCCCAGCCCCTGCCGGCGAGGGCGCCCCGCCGGGGCAGGGGAGCGACGGGGAAAAAGAAGCCGCTTCCCCCACACCGCGCTCCCCCTCCTCCCCACCCTCCCCCCGGCCCCTCCCGTTGCCGGTCGGTGCTCACCGCTGAAGACCATGGCGGCCGAAGCGCCCATCACGGCGAAGAAGGAGGCGTACTCGGGGCTGGCGCCGGAGGACATGGCTGCGCGAGCCGGGCCGGGCCGAGGCGCCGCTAGAGTCGGAGAGCGAGAGGGCGGGGGAAAGGCGGAAAGCTCCGCCGCGGCGCCGGTCCTCGGCGGGCAATGCTCGGCCACAAAATGGCGGGGGAGCGGGCGGGGCAGAGGGAGCCGGGGCGGGGGCGCAGGGAGGGCGGCGGCGGGTCCCGGGGCGCGGAAGCTCCGTCCCGGCAGGAGTGGCGGCGGCGCGCGCGCTGCGCCCTAAATACGGCCTCCGCAGGACAAAATGGCGGCGGCCCGCCCGTCACGTGATCGCACCCACCGCCCCCGCCCGCCCCGCCCTCGGCGCACACCACGCGCGCGGCAGGGGGGACGCCCGCTCGCGCGCTCCTCACTGCTCCTCCCCGCGCCCCGATCCCGGTTCCGCGGCGCGGCCGCCGGTGAGGTCAGCGGCATCCGGGCTCCCCCGCCCGTCCTCAGGTCGCAGCGGCGGCGCTGGCTGCCCCGCTCTGATGCCCTCCTCTCGTTCCCCCCTCTGCGCCGCCTGGTTGAGCCCGTCCTGCCCGACGGCCGCGGTCCGCTGAGCGTGATTCAGCTCTCATTAGCATAAGGGGCGTGCCCCGTCACGGCCCCGCCCACGCGGCGGCGGCCTTGCCTCGGGCCGGTGATGTTCGAATCGTGTCCGTGTGTCCTGTCCCCCTGTCCTGTCCTCCTGTCTGGTCTGTGTGTCGTGTCCCTGCAGCACCGCCCGGGCCGTGTCCCGTCATCTGACCCCAGGGCGCGGCTCCTGCCGCGGATCCCCATGTCCGTGTTCCGGTGCCGCATCCCCCACTGTGCGTCCCGTCGCCATGTGCCGTGACCCTGGTGCCATGTCCCGTGTCCCATGTGCCGTGACGCCGGTGCCATGTCCCGTGTCCCATGTGCCACCTGCCCTGTGCCTTGCCTGCGTGCTGTGCCCCCTTTCCTGTCCGGCCCTGTAGCCTGAGCTGTGCTCACCTCTTGTGAGCCTTCCACGAGGCATCAGCTGTGCCCGTGGGGCAGTGCTGGCCTGGGCTCCCCTCTAGGGCCTTCCAGCCCCTGCACTCCACATCTTCCAAGGGTCCAGTACCAGCAGCATCTGTTGGAGTTCTACTGCCGTCCCATCCATCGATCCTGCTCCCTTGGATGTGACAACCAGCCCCTGGCCCATCCTTTTCCCCAGGCTGGAGGTGAGCGGGTGGGCTGGGTCTGAACCACGGTATCGTCCCTCCATAGGCTCTGCCACCTACTCTCTCCTGCAGGCGCTCCCCTGAGCCAAACCCATCCCAAACCATCGCAGAGGGAGGCTCCTACAACCCATCCTGGAAGGGTGACTCATGCCATTCTGTTGCCCAGGGTTTGGGGGGTCATTAACAGTTCCTGCTGCCACAAATCTGGCTGAGCTTTCCGTGTCCCAAAACACCAGGTCTCTCAATTACTCAAGGGCCACCTGCCTTTTCCCCTGTGTTGCCACTTTTCTGGCCCCCTCAGCCTTGGTAGAGCCCACAGGGAGGCTGAGGACAGGATTTACTTTGGCAAATTCCTTGCTGCTGCTTGAGCACAAAGGGTCCTGGCACTTCAGTGGGCAGAGGTGGCTGGCATGTGCTGGGGACTGGCAGCAGGGCATGCTGGTTCTGAGGGGGAGACTGTCACCAAGTCTTCATGGGGACATCCAGCACATACATGGCCCATGGCAGAGGTTGGCTGGAGGCACAAAGAGAGCAGTGGGCTGGGAGTCAGCCACGGAGGTGGAGCCTGTCCTGAGCCCTGGCAGAGGTGGCTGCAGGGGCTGTGCATCCCATCTGGGAGCACACTGCCACTGTCACCACCACCACTGCCATCAGCACTGCCACCATCATAACCACCACCAGCACCACAATCATCATCACTGCCACCACCAGCACCACTCCCCCCATTGCTGCTTTTCTACAGTGGGACATGAACTTTTTCAGTGTGGTCATCGTTGTCATCGCTCTGTGGTGGTGGCTGTCACTGCTAGCAGTGTTTCCAGCAGCTCAAATTTAACCTTTCACTGTCACAGGACAATCCCTGCCTCTCGGCTCCAGAGCAATTGGTCACTGAGTGCATTTCTCACACCTTGGGCCACTGGCAGCATGAGCAGTGTGCTCACCAGATTTGGGCTGGTGAGGGGAGGTGGGGCTGGGCCTGTGGTGCCTCACGCCACCCTGGTGCTCAGGTCTGTGCCCTCCTGGGCTGGGTCTGGCCGTGCTGCCACCAGCCCTCACCTGGAGTGGGCATCTCTGCCAGCACTGTGCCTGGCCTGGCTGCAGTGAGGGGGCCTTGCAAGGGGCAGAGCCCAAAGAGAGTGCCGTGGGCATCCTGGCTGGCAGGGATGAGCCCAGATCGCCGCCCCACGGAATTTATCTGTGGGTGATGGCTGCTGTCGTGTTGTTGGGCAAGAGCCTCAAAGCCCCAGGGACACCAAGAGACTGGAGCAACACCAGCAACAATATTTGGAGCAACACCAGCAACAATATAGGGCCCAGGGTGGTTTTACGGGCCCCTAAGGGCTGCTCTTCCCCCTGTGCCTGTCCCGGGGGGCAGCCCTGGCGGCCGTGGAGCGGCTCCGTGCCCGCGGCGCTGCCGCCGCCTCCTGCCGTGCCCCTCCGGCCGGCGCTGCCGCCGATCAGCCGGGCCCATCCCCGCCGATCACCGGCCACATCCCCGCCGATCAGCCGGCCCCATCCCCGCCCCAGCTGCCAGCGAGCTCCGTCCCGGCCCACAAAGAGCCTCCTGTGGCCGGGCGCTCCCGAGTGGCGGCGGCGGTGCCGCTCTGGGGTGCCGCGTCTCCGCTGAGGCCGAGCAGCAGCGGCGCCCCAGGGCCGAGCTCCCTCCCTCCCCCCTTAGGAGCTGCCGGGAGTCTCCCTGCCCCCGCGTCATGCTGAGCCAAGCCCTCCTCTCCTTCCTTCTCCGCCTCCCATGCTCTTCATTCGGGACTCCTTCAATGTCTCCGGGTCTCAGTTCTCCAGCACTAAAGGTCCAATAAATTGTTTGGGTTTCACCTGAAATTGCTGATTCACAGCGAGGATATTTTTTAAGCTCTTGGCAACAAAATTTCCTTTCAAAACATGGCATTTTACATTTTCCCTGCGGCATGTATTTATTCAGCCTCCTCCTACCCGGGTGGAGCCGTGGAGGTCATGGTGGAGTCAGTGTGGTTCCCCCTGCACATGGGTTTGCACAGAGGGGAGCTCTGGGTGCTGGAAATGAGAGCATCCCCCTCCTTTCACCCATCCGGGGGTGCCCAGCCCTCCTCACTCTCTCCACACCCCCTGGGCTGCCCAGGCCGATGGATGTGTGTGCCAGGCACATCTCATCCTGAGATGCCCGTGAAGCCACGCTGGTGGCCCGGGTGATGGTGGAGTGAGGCGACACAGGGATGCACAAAGCCCACGTGGGCCAGAGGAAGGGAAGGACTCACTGGATACCGGTGACAACAGCACGTGTGACCTCTCTGGGCTCCCTGTCATGCCTGGTGTGTTGAGCAGGTCCCCAAGAGTAACTGGAGTCCTTCCCAGAGCAGGGCTGTTGGAAAGCACCGTGGCATTCCCAGCGCCAGCAGCATGGCAGCTGCAGGTCCGGCAGCGATGGTGCCCTTGGCTGGGGGCTCTCAGTCAAACCTGGCCCTGTTCTGGCCCGGTGGTTGCTGCACACAGCCAGCCCTCCCCGGGATGTCACTGCCCCCTGCCACCCCTCAGCAAGGACACCAAGGCTCTCAGGCCAGTTCTGCTTCTGCCTTGTGGAGCTGCGGGGGTATTTCTTCCTCAGGGAAGGGGCAATGGGAGGAGGAACAAAATTCAATGCAAACTGGGAGGTGAACACAACATCAAAGGCAGAGGGCCAGAGCGTGGATGCAGAAGAACCCAAATGAATTCCTGTTCCCACAGCAACCAGCTCTCACCCCCTCGCCAGGCGCTCGCCAGGCTGGCACCAACACGCCCACGCTCACCAGAGGGACGTGAGGGTGGCACCTCCAGAGCTGCCTTTTCTTTCTCATTCACCCCATGGCATGGCATGGCACCACACCACACCCAGCCTGAGAGGGATTTTGGGTTGCCCGTTCCCATGCCAAGGAAGGAGCAGAGGATGAAGTGGGCTTTCCAGCAGGTGCAGGGGAGAGGTGCCACCACCTTTTGGGGGATATTTTCTGAGTGGCCTCGTGGCAGATGACTTTCCTGCTGCCCTGGGCCTTGTCTGTGCATGGACCAAACACCCTGGAGAGCAATTTCAGAGAGCTCCAGCTTCTGTCAGCTGCTTCCAGTGAGCAGGAGCTGGACACTGTCTGCTCCATGCTACATATGGGACTCCAGGGCTGCTGACCTGCCCTGATCCAGCTGGTTTTTGGCAAGTTGGAGAGTTGTTTAGCAGGGGATCTATTTCTAAAAGCCATGGCAATGCTGGTGGTTTTGCCCATGTCATGAAGCAAGGTGGAAGGCATCTGTGCAGCCAGCTGGGAGCCCCCTGCCCCTGCAGGACAGCTCTGGGTACAGAGATGCCAGCGTGGAATTGCATTGTTGCAGGACAGACAGGGAATGCTCTGCCCCCCGGGTACCATGAGAGAATTTGTGTTAAGGTGTTAAAAATGCATCTCAGTTCAGGACAAGCCCAGGTGGGCTTTCGGTCTGGAGGTCTGATGGACACAGTGGAGCTGAGCTGGTGCAGGGATTGGAGACGAGAAATGCAGGTCTGGCAGTGGGTGCATTGCTCAGGGCCTCGGCAGCAAGCGCTGGGCAGCCACAGAGCAAAGCCTGTGGAGCATTTCCTCATTCAGTGCCTTCTGCAGTGTCCCACCGAAACCACAAGGCAGGAGTCACGGCCCTGGGGCCCGGCTGCTCCTCCCTCCCCAGCTCAGGACTTTGGGCCATTTGCAAAAGGAGTTTCTCTTGCTCTGTTTGGGTCTTAGTTAACTGATGCCCACCCTGAGTTGTTAATTCTTTCCTGGGATTTCCCTGGTGCTGGACTTCCAGATGAGGCAATCAGGGGCCTCCCATCCCATCCCATCCCATCCCATCCCATCCCATCCCATCCCATCATCCCCATCTGCCCTGATCTCTTTCCCTTCTCATCTTTTTGTCCAGGACTTCCCTACCCTATGCACACCCTCTGATCTTCCTCTTTTCCACACCACGCTTCTGTGTGAGTGCAGCTGGGAAAATATCTGTGTTCCTACAGTTTCTTCAGCTCCTGGGAATG